TCTGTTGTTATTGCTCAATCCCTTAGGGATGTCCCGCCCCTTAGTCTCACGTACAATGTGTTGGAGCGCTAGCCAATAGTAGCACAAGTGTTACATAGTGATGTCAAAAAGCATGATAGGGCCCCTTTACACGTGTTGCTGTTCCATCATAATAAATTCAAGCGGTTTTTTTCTTAGCATATTGATGTTTTCTATTTGTATAACCCCCCTCCTCTGTTTGGTCAGTCATTTAACACACATCTAAATTCAAACTTACAACATCATAGTGAGCGAAAATCTTCTCAAAGTCTCTCTTTCTGTCGTCCTGACTGCAAGCCTGAGACCAAACACAGTATGGAGAATAATTAAACAGTAAAAATTATGAATTCAATATTTGCATGAAACATAAGTCTGCTGTTAGCATGCAACTTCTAAAAGCATGAATCTCCTTTAGACATAAATAGGGAGATTGAGGTGAGTTGTAAGCATTTTCTCTTGCAAAAAAATTGTAATATCAAATGAAAAAACATCTAACTTCTTAAAACTTACATCCATCTTAAACTTGAGTAAGAAATTCTCTTTCAGGGCCAATATTCTGAGACAACAAGAAACAAAGATTTTTATTTAGAAACATATTTATAATTCTATTTTTATACCAAAACAATAGTGTCCTCTTGGTCACATGACACAGGTCAACAGTACCTGGCCAGGTCATTTAAGTCCAGCCTGCCATCCCTGTTTCTGTCGAACATCTTCATCTACAGGAGGAAACATTAAGAAGGAATCAGTCAGAGACAAACAGAGTTTAGCAGTATTGACATGCGAGCAGGTTACCATGGTGTCAGTGTACTCCTCCAGTTTCTCAGGGGTTATGGACTTCCTGTGTTGGAGGAAGAGGTCATGAAGGAAGCCCTGAAGGGACAAAAAGAGAACTAAAATGCAGAGAGATAATGGAGGCTTTGCCTCTAGCCTCACATCATTTAAAAATAATGCTCATTACCAACAGCCATAAGTCTAAAGTATGGAGATATGAAACTGAAAAAATAAATACAAATAATAATAATTAAAACTGTGGTCACAGGCGTGCACGCAGTTGTGGGCGGGCCTTCGCGTC